ATCCTCTTCCCCACCTTCTCCATCCCCAACCCCTGCTGCCCCCATCTCTGCTGCCCCCACTATGCGTGCCTGCGTCCTCACGAGGGCGGGCAGGCAAGAGCACGACGACAGCCATGCTCACATGGGTGCTGCGCCAGATGGGGGTGCCCCTCGCTGCTGTCATCGGTGCCAATGTGCCTCAGGTGCGCTCACATACCCATCACAGTGCCTCTCTCCCACCCATGCCTCTCGCACGCGCCATTGTCTCTCAAGTGAACGCCTTTTACCGCTGCGTGTTCAAGCCCTTGGGGCCGCCCAGGGCTTATCCACCCTTCCATCCTGCCCTGCATGCACGGCGCACAAGGCACAGGAAGAGGGTGTGACGGCCTGCCAGCAGCAGTGCTGACCACTCCTCGTGCACCTCTACTTTTCTTTGCTGCTCACTGCAACCCTGTCTGCTTCACCGTAACTCCACGTGGTTCGCCTCGATGCTTCCTCCCGCATCACATAACTGGAAAGACAACCGACAACCATGCGAATGCTTGCTGTTTTGCCCACTCGTCCCTCTCCCACGCACACCATATCCCCCTCTCCTCTCCGCGCCGCCTTTCCCTCTTCCAAACCCCGCCATGCCTGCAGTTGCCAGGTGGCGGCAACGCATTGGTGGATGACGGTGCAAGGATGATGGTGCTGGAGGTGAGCCGCCTTTCTAATCAATCTTTTCATGAATGGTCAGCCCAGACTCTGCATGTGAAACCGTCTCTTTGCTGGCCCCCCATGTCATGGACCCAGCCAGACATTTGAGGCCCGGAGCTTTTACACGGCCTTGATGCCTTACGCTTGATATCCATGAGCCGTGAGAGAGCAGAGCGAGTGAGTTGCATGTGGTGCGTGTGATGTGATGTGATGCGATGCGATGCGATGCGATGGGATGCGATGGGATGGGATGGGATGGGTTGCGATGCGATGCGATGCGATGATGCGATGTGATGCGATGCGATGTAATGCATGCATGCAAGGCTGGGTTATCCCATGGAACTGTTCCATGGAGTATCCACCCCAAATGAGCTCAGGACTAACTGTTCCGCAAGCCACCTCCTCAAGAGCCAGATAGTGAACGAGAGAGTGAGCAGCTTCTTTGTGAAGCTCCGCTCGGCGTTTCAATGCGGCTCTGCTCTGCTCTGTGTGGGCTGTGCTGCGCGGTGCGGCTGTGCGGCTGTGCGGCTGTCCCGTCCCATGCGTTGCGGTGCGGTGTGGTGCGTGGCAGGCGGACGAGTACGACGGCGCCTTCCTGGAGCTGACCCCCGGCATAGCGGTGGTGACCAACGTGGAGTGGGAGCACGTCGACCTCTTCCACTCCGAGGTCTGCCACTCGGGGCCACCTGGGGGACATCTGGGGGGTCACTGGCGGGTCACTGGCGGGTCACTGGGTATTGTCCGGGTGCTGACTCCTCACTGCCCAGATTGTGCCCCTGGTAGTTGGGAATGACATGACAAGGCTCTGTGCAGAACGTAGCGTGGCATCCAGGCCTTTTTGAGGGGGAGGCAGTTGGAGAGAGGGGGATGCGATTGGAGTGGAGGGACCTGCTTGGCAATCCCCCAGGTGTTCCTGCTAATGGGGGGATGCAGCAATGGTGTTGCCTGTTTGCTTGAGCCAGCCATCCCTCCCTGCCTCCTCTCCTCGCCTCCGTCCCCATCCTTGTTCCCTCCCTCCCATCTTTGCGCTGTCCCCTGTTAATCCCTGCCTCGTCTCTCCCTGCCTGCCAGGCAGCAGTGCGGACAGCCTTCTCTCGCTTCGCCAGCCGCATAAAGCAGGGCGGCGTTCTTGTGGCATGTGGCGACAAGTGAGTGGTGTGGCGTATGCCGACCATGCCTGCATGATATTGTGCTGTGCACAAGGGGTTGAAAAGGGGTAGGATTCCCTGTGCCTTCGTCTTTTGTGCAAGCAGTAAACACTTTCCCATCGCACATGCTCACTCCAGTGACCATGCACGCATGGAGGCCTCATACACACATGCGCTGTTCCCCCACCGTGCTGCGCCCGCCCCCCACTCGTCCAGTGCAGGCTCTCGCGCGCTGGTCACTCACCTGCGAGCACGCCACGGCACTGACACCACAGCCTCAGCCCCGCGTGCCGCCACTGCTGCCACTGCCGGTCCCGCTGCGTCCACCTCGCCTCAAACGGGTAGCGGCGGCTCCCACAGGTCTGATAGTGCTGCTGGTGCTGGTGCTTCTGGTGCCACTGCAAGGGCTGCTTGGCTGGATGTGGAGGAGGAGCAGCGGACAGCTGTCACGTACGGATTGGACGAGGGCAACGACTGGCGGGCCATCATGCTGGCGCCCAACCAGGCGGGCGGCACGGACTACGTGACGGTGTTTGCCGGCCGGCCCATGGCGCGAGTGAGCCTGCAGCTGCCTGGCGTGCACAACGTGCTCAACTCCCTCGCTGTAAGCACCTCACCTCTGGTTTCTTATTTTTCCTGTTTTTTTTTTTTTTTGGTCCCCTTCACTCAAGTTCTAGTTAATTCTAACGAGTCTCGCTTTGCTCTTTGGCCTTCCTCCCTTCCCCAGTGATTCACGTCCTCCCTCATGCCATCGCCTCACCCTCCCCGTCTCCCAGGTCCTTGTTGTTGCCGCCCAGCTGGCGGCCCGTGACGCGCCGACAGCTGGCGACGCGGCACGGGTGGAGGCGGCGTCGCTGGAACTGCAGCGGGCGGCGGTGGCGCGGGCGGCGGAGCACCTGGGGCGGTTTGAGGGGGCGGAGCGGCGGTTCCAGGTGGTGGGGCGGGCGGGCAGGTGGCGGGCGACGTTTGTGGATGACTATGCCCACCACCCCTCTGAGGTGTGTTTGCACTGCCTTGTGTGTGCTGTGCTTGTGGGTGCTCAAGGCAGTGCAGTCCCCACGGCAGTCCCCATGGCAGTCCACACGGCACCCAGCCCGGGTTCCTATCCAGTATACGGTGCGCCATCCTCTTCTCTTGCCATCCTCTTCTCTTGCCATCCTCTTCTCTTGCCATCCTCTTCTCTTGCCATCCTCTTCTCTTGCCATCCTCTTCTCTTGCCATCCTCTTCTCTTGCCATCCTCTTCTCTTGCCATCCTCTTCTCTTGCCATCCTCTTCTCTTGCCATCCTCTTCTCTTGCCATCCTCTTCTCTTGCCATCCTCTTCTCTTGCCATCCTCTTCTCTTGCCATCCTCTTCTCTTGCCATCCTCTTCTCTTGCCATCCTCTTCTCTTGCCATCCTCTTCTCTTGCCATCCTCTTCTCTTGCCATCCTCTTCTCTTGCCATCCTCTTCTCTTGCCATCCTCTTCTCTTGCCATCCTCTTCTCTTGCCATCCTCTTCTCTTGCCATCCTCTTCTCTTGCCATCCTCTTCTCTTGCCATCCTCTTCTCTTGCCATCCTCTTCTCTTGCCATCCTCTTCTCTTGCCATCCTCTTCTCTTGCCATCCTCTTCTCTTGCCATCCTCTTCTCTTGCCATCCTCTTCTCTTGCCATCCTCTTCTCTTGCCATCCTCTTCTCTTGCCATCCTCTTCTCTTGCCATCCTCTTCTCTTGCCATCCTCTTCTCTTGCCATCCTCTTCTCTTGCCATCCTCTTCTCTTGCCATCCTCTTCTCTTGCCATCCTCTTCTCTTGCCATCCTCTTCTCTTGCCATCCTCTTCTCTTGCCATCCTCTTCTCTTGCCATCCTCTTCTCTTGCCATCCTCTTCTCTTGCCATCCTCTTCTCTTGCCATCCTCTTCTCTTGCCATCCTCTTCTCTTGCCATCCTCTTCTCTTGCCATCCTCTTCTCTTGCCATCCTCTTCTCTTGCCATCCTCTTCTCTTGCCATCCTCTTCTCTTGCCATCCTCTTCTCTTGCCATCCTCTTCTCTTGCCATCCTCTTCTCTTGCCATCCTCTTCTCTTGCCATCCTCTTCTCTTGCCATCCTCTTCTCTTGCCATCCTCTTCTCTTGCCATCCTCTTCTCTTGCCATCCTCTTCTCTTGCCATCCTCTTCTCTTGCCATCCTCTTCTCTTGCCATCCTCTTCTCTTGCCATCCTCTTCTCTTGCCATCCTCTTCTCTTGCCATCCTCTTCTCTTGCCATCCTCTTCTCTTGCCATCCTCTTCTCTTGCCATCCTCTTCTCTTGCCATCCTCTTCTCTTGCCATCCTCTTCTCTTGCCATCCTCTTCTCTTGCCATCCTCTTCTCTTGCCATCCTCTTCTCTTGCCATCCTCTTCTCTTGCCATCCTCTTCTCTTGCCATCCTCTTCTCTTGCCATCCTCTTCTCTTGCCATCCTCTTCTCTTGCCATCCTCTTCTCTTGCCATCCTCTTCTCTTGCCATCCTCTTCTCTTGCCATCCTCTTCTCTTGCCATCCTCTTCTCTTGCCATCCTCTTCTCTTGCCATCCTCTTCTCTTGCCATCCTCTTCTCTTGCCATCCTCTTCTCTTGCCATCCTCTTCTCTTGCCATCCTCTTCTCTTGCCATCCTCTTCTCTTGCCATCCTCTTCTCTTGCCATCCTCTTCTCTTGCCATCCTCTTCTCTTGCCATCCTCTTCTCTTGCCATCCTCTTCTCTTGCCATCCTCTTCTCTTGCCATCCTCTTCTCTTGCCATCCTCTTCTCTTGCCATCCTCTTCTCTTGCCATCCTCTTCTCTTGCCATCCTCTTCTCTTGCCATCCTCTTCTCTTGCCATCCTCTTCTCTTGCCATCCTCTTCTCTTGCCATCCTCTTCTCTTGCCATCCTCTTCTCTTGCCATCCTCTTCTCTTGCCATCCTCTTCTCTTGCCATCCTCTTCTCTTGCCATCCTCTTCTCTTGCCATCCTCTTCTCTTGCCATCCTCTTCTCTTGCCATCCTCTTCTCTTGCCATCCTCTTCTCTTGCCATCCTCTTCTCTTGCCATCCTCTTCTCTTGCCATCCTCTTCTCTTGCCATCCTCTTCTCTTGCCATCCTCTTCTCTTGCCATCCTCTTCTCTTGCCATCCTCTTCTCTTGCCATCCTCTTCTCTTGCCATCCTCTTCTCTTGCCATCCTCTTCTCTTGCCATCCTCTTCTCTTGCCATCCTCTTCTCTTGCCATCCTCTTCTCTTGCCATCCTCTTCTCTTGCCATCCTCTTCTCTTGCCATCCTCTTCTCTTGCCATCCTCTTCTCTTGCCATCCTCTTCTCTTGCCATCCTCTTCTCTTGCCATCCTCTTCTCTTGCCATCCTCTTCTCTTGCCATCCTCTTCTCTTGCCATCCTCTTCTCTTGCCATCCTCTTCTCTTGCCATCCTCTTCTCTTGCCATCCTCTTCTCTTGCCATCCTCTTCTCTTGCCATCCTCTTCTCTTGCCATCCTCTTCTCTTGCCATCCTCTTCTCTTGCCATCCTCTTCTCTTGCCATCCTCTTCTCTTGCCATCCTCTTCTCTTGCCATCCTCTTCTCTTGCCATCCTCTTCTCTTGCCATCCTCTTCTCTTGCCATCCTCTTCTCTTGCCATCCTCTTCTCTTGCCATCCTCTTCTCTTGCCATCCTCTTCTCTTGCCATCCTCTTCTCTTGCCATCCTCTTCTCTTGCCATCCTCTTCTCTTGCCATCCTCTTCTCTTGCCATCCTCTTCTCTTGCCATCCTCTTCTCTTGCCATCCTCTTCTCTTGCCATCCTCTTCTCTTGCCATCCTCTTCTCTTGCCATCCTCTTCTCTTGCCATCCTCTTCTCTTGCCATCCTCTTCTCTTGCCATCCTCTTCTCTTGCCATCCTCTTCTCTTGCCATCCTCTTCTCTTGCCATCCTCTTCTCTTGCCATCCTCTTCTCTTGCCATCCTCTTCTCTTGCCATCCTCTTCTCTTGCCATCCTCTTCTCTTGCCATCCTCTTCTCTTGCCATCCTCTTCTCTTGCCATCCTCTTCTCTTGCCATCCTCTTCTCTTGCCATCCTCTTCTCTTGCCATCCTCTTCTCTTGCCATCCTCTTCTCTTGCCATCCTCTTCTCTTGCCATCCTCTTCTCTTGCCATCCTCTTCTCTTGCCATCCTCTTCTCTTGCCATCCTCTTCTCTTGCCATCCTCTTCTCTTGCCATCCTCTTCTCTTGCCATCCTCTTCTCTTGCCATCCTCTTCTCTTGCCATCCTCTTCTCTTGCCATCCTCTTCTCTTGCCATCCTCTTCTCTTGCCATCCTCTTCTCTTGCCATCCTCTTCTCTTGCCATCCTCTTCTCTTGCCATCCTCTTCTCTTGCCATCCTCTTCTCTTGCCATCCTCTTCTCTTGCCATCCTCTTCTCTTGCCATCCTCTTCTCTTGCCATCCTCTTCTCTTGCCATCCTCTTCTCTTGCCATCCTCTTCTCTTGCCATCCTCTTCTCTTGCCATCCTCTTCTCTTGCCATCCTCTTCTCTTGCCATCCTCTTCTCTTGCCATCCTCTTCTCTTGCCATCCTCTTCTCTTGCCATCCTCTTCTCTTGCCATCCTCTTCTCTTGCCATCCTCTTCTCTTGCCATCCTCTTCTCTTGCCATCCTCTTCTCTTGCCATCCTCTTCTCTTGCCATCCTCTTCTCTTGCCATCCTCTTCTCTTGCCATCCTCTTCTCTTGCCATCCTCTTCTCTTGCCATCCTCTTCTCTTGCCATCCTCTTCTCTTGCCATCCTCTTCTCTTGCCATCCTCTTCTCTTGCCATCCTCTTCTCTTGCCATCCTCTTCTCTTGCCATCCTCTTCTCTTGCCATCCTCTTCTCTTGCCATCCTCTTCTCTTGCCATCCTCTTCTCTTGCCATCCTCTTCTCTTGCCATCCTCTTCTCTTGCCATCCTCTTCTCTTGCCATCCTCTTCTCTTGCCATCCTCTTCTCTTGCCATCCTCTTCTCTTGCCATCCTCTTCTCTTGCCATCCTCTTCTCTTGCCATCCTCTTCTCTTGCCATCCTCTTCTCTTGCCATCCTCTTCTCTTGCCATCCTCTTCTCTTGCCATCCTCTTCTCTTGCCATCCTCTTCTCTTGCCATCCTCTTCTCTTGCCATCCTCTTCTCTTGCCATCCTCTTCTCTTGCCATCCTCTTCTCTTGCCATCCTCTTCTCTTGCCATCCTCTTCTCTTGCCATCCTCTTCTCTTGCCATCCTCTTCTCTTGCCATCCTCTTCTCTTGCCATCCTCTTCTCTTGCCATCCTCTTCTCTTGCCATCCTCTTCTCTTGCCATCCTCTTCTCTTGCCATCCTCTTCTCTTGCCATCCTCTTCTCTTGCCATCCTCTTCTCTTGCCATCCTCTTCTCTTGCCATCCTCTTCTCTTGCCATCCTCTTCTCTTGCCATCCTCTTCTCTTGCCATCCTCTTCTCTTGCCATCCTCTTCTCTTGCCATCCTCTTCTCTTGCCATCCTCTTCTCTTGCCATCCTCTTCTCTTGCCATCCTCTTCTCTTGCCATCCTCTTCTCTTGCCATCCTCTTCTCTTGCCATCCTCTTCTCTTGCCATCCTCTTCTCTTGCCATCCTCTTCTCTTGCCATCCTCTTCTCTTGCCATCCTCTTCTCTTGCCATCCTCTTCTCTTGCCATCCTCTTCTCTTGCCATCCTCTTCT